ACACACACACACACACACACACACACACACACACACACACACACACACACGGATGAATTGTGTGCTTAGGTCTAGGCCCCGATGACCAAGATATCTCATTATGTATAGATAAGTCTTCTAGAACCTGCTGGAGGCATATTCAAAATTTGACGTCTTCTTGGTGCCATCCTCTTCAGATAAGGGATGTGGCAGCAGTACCGTCAGTGCCTATCTCTCTGGCTCAGATCTTTCACCATCTCCCCATCATACATGCCCTCACATTTCACACTTCTCCTTCTCAATATCCATTTCTCCCATCATTAGATAATTATTTGCGTAGTCATGGACTTGATGACTTTCTCCCTTGCTGGACAGTAAATTAGCTAAACCTGGGGATCACACATATGGCGCTCCATGGCATGGGTTAACAGTCAGTTAGTCATGATATTAATGAATTGCACACTTCCAGCTTCTCCAACTAAGTATGTTCTTAAGAGCAGTCATCTGAAGTAACAGGTGGGCTTTGTCATTCTCCCCGCTTGATCACCACTGTCTGATCTCATCACTCCTGCTACTTCAAGGCTTCTTGACAGAAAGCCCCTTCATTGATCCTTTGTGTGGTTCACGAGTCCAAACACAAATTTTTAACTGCCCGGGACTAAGAATACTGCTGGCTTCATTGGCCATTATTGACTGATTTATTTGACATCTTCACCTCTATATCTTATACATGAAATAAAAAAAATAGATGAATAGAAACGGTTTAAGTTTTAAGGGCTTAAAGCCTGAGCTATTGGCTAAGCATTTATAATTTATATTATTTGGGAAGCGGCTGCTGGTTATTTAGGAGCAGGTGATCAGGACAGGAAAACTCCACCAACAAATTCTTTTCTTTTTTTTTTAAGTCAATCTACAAAACTTTTGGGGACTGGAGATATGTTATAGTGGTAGAACACTCACGGAGCATGGGCAAGGCCCTAGATTGGATTCCCAACCACTGGCCTTCTCCCTTCCCAAAGTGAGGTTAATTGCATTCATAAAAAGAAATAAAAATAAAAAACTCCTCATTATTTCAAAGTTTGAGCCACTCTGTGTACATTTTTTCAGGGGGTGTTTCATTCCAGGTAGTGGTCAAGCTTAGCAGGCAGGAACTCAAGGTTTCTGTCCAGAGACTGCAACAGAGATGAGCAACTGAAGTAATGGGAAACAGCACAGTAAGGACAACCATGAGTGATACGGAGTTTAGCTGGAAAGAAATGGAGAGCTTGAAAAAACTTGAAAGCTTCGTGGGCTTTGGACTAAGTTTGGTTTAGCTTGCACTGAGTCTATCCTGTGTACATTCCATGGCCTGAAAGTCAGTTTGCTCCTTGGCTGTTTTTGCTTGCAGGTGAAATGGTACCAACAATGCCTGTCTTTCATAGTGTATGGAGGAAGGGTCATGCATGTGGAATTATCTAGAGAGGGGGCGAAAGGAAAAAGTGGAGAAGTCTCAAGACCATTGGCAGAAGCTTAAGTGCCATCTTTTGAGCCAAGATGGCTCAACCTAAAGCCTAATTGGGGATTAGAAAGCTAGAAGAGGTGATGATCAGGGTTTGAGCAAGGGTTCTAGGAGAAGGGGCAGAAGGGACAGAAAAACTGAATACACAGTGTTGAGGTCAGGCCCAGAGCCACTGTGCTAGGTGATACTGAAAGGGAGTAGCCCATGGTAAGAGAAAAGCAGGGCACTTGGGAGGCTGAGGTGAGCACTGAGAGGGCTCAGGCATTCTATCTTGGGTAGTGTAGTCCAGAAACTAGGAGGGAGGGAAGCTAGATGCCAGTGTTTAATGGACAGGAAAGGCTGGGGGTCTGGAGCTCTCATGGAAAATGAGCTGGAGCAAGAGCAAGTGAAGAAGCAAGCCAAAGTCTCTGCAAGGCTGCTTTGCACAACCTACAGAGAGGACAGTGGGGGCTGGATGAGGACTTCCTGAACAACCAACTAAAGGCAAATAAGCCACAGAAACCAAAGCTGGAGAAAGTGCCTGAGGCAGGGAGTCTGCAGAGTTAACAAATCCATTCCTTCTTCCTGGAGAAGCCGCCAGTAGCCCTGTATGAAGATGTGGCCATGAGACATGGTTCCAGCTGAGGTGATTCGAACAGAAGGACAGGAGTCACTTCCAGGGTAGATGTTTCATGTGCCACTTGAACCTACCTGTCTTCCTCCATATTGTTTTCCTGTATGGAGTCCGGGTGCTCATGCCCAGGGTAACACTGGAGGCCACATATAGAACTCGGTAGAGCTGCAGGACAAACAATACTCAGGTTCAAGGCCACCTGGAAAATAGAGCCCTGTTAGTCCAGACATCTGGTTTAAACTTTATGCCAGCCACAATCAAACAGCACAAAACAAACTCCCACAATGCTATAGTGTCCAACTCATGTACAATCAGAGTATTTTATTACAGCAGCTATTGTCATTTTAATGAGCTCAGCACAATGAGCTGGGGAGGTGCAAAGGGAGTTATAGGGAAGGGAAGAAAAAGGCAGAAGAGAGCAGAATATAATAAATGGGATGGATGCTTGATTTTAAAGCCTGTCCCAAGAATAAAATTAACATTTTTCTTTCACAAAGCACACTACCTCGGGACCTTACCATCCATCACAACTGTTTAGTTGCTGCCTCTATTCTATGACCTTGACCATGGCATTTAATCTTGTCTTAGTGTCTATTAATAGCCACAAAAGAAAAACAATTATCAAAAATTTTTAGTCTTTCTTTGTTGATGGGGAATGTACTGTGTATGTTTATCTTTTTGATTGTTAAATAAAATACTGTTTGGTCAATGAGACAACAAGTAGATGGGACTAGGAGTCAAAGAGGCTTCTGGGCAATGTAGTAGAGAAATGCTGATCCAGACAGGAAGTGACATAGCAAGGAGACTCATATTTAAGTGAAGGAGAAACAGGAAGGGTGCTCTTTTCCCCCCTGCTCCTGCTCCAGTGGCATGATGTGATCCCCCGACCAGGAGGGACGCCAACAAGGCATCCGATAAGATACGTCTTATAAAATATATAGGTTTATGATAGTTAAGACTGAGCTAACAGATGAGAATCCTAGTCATTGGCCAAGCAGCTTTGAACCTAATACAAGTTTCTGTGTATTCATTTGGGCCTAACTCGGGCAGGCGGCTGGCGCAAAGCGCACACGTGGCAGTGGGGCTCAGGCAGCTTTTGGCAGAAAGATTTATCGCAATACTTTGTTGCTAAAAAAAATTTTTTTGGGGGGGTTTTGAGACAGGGTTTCTCTGTGTAGCTTTGGAGCCTATCCTGGCACTCGCTCTAGAGACCAGGCTGGCCTCCAACTTACAGAGACCCGCCTGCCTCTGCCTTCAGAGTACTAAGATTAAAGGTGTGTGCCACCAACACTCGACTAATACTTTTATACAATATATTTTAACCACAATCTCCCCGTCTCCTCCTAGATCCTCCTCACCTCCCCACTCACCCAGCTCCACATCCTTATCTCTCTCTTTAGAAAACAAGCAAACAAAAATTAAAACAACGATAAACACACAAGATGCACACACACATAAACAACAAAATCAAAAACCATTACATATATTAGTAAAATACCAACAAAGCAAAAAAACAAACAAAAAAAAAAACCCAAATCAATATGAGACAAAAAGTCTACAAAACCTACTACTGAGTTCATTTTGTGTTGGCCATCTATTGCTGGACATGGCACCTGCCCCTTAGTGTGGTTAATAGATCCAGTGAGAATCCATTGGAGAAAACTAATTGTTCCTTTGCATGTGGTGTCAATTGTAGATCGCTTCTTGGTTAGGAGTGGAGCCCTCTGTCCACCTGCTCCTCTCAGTCCTGGGACCCTGACTGGTTCAGACTCCTGTAGCCCTGTGTATCCTGCCACAGTCTCTGTGAGTTCAGATGTGTGTCTGCCCTGTTGTGTCTGGAAGACATGGTTTTCCTTGGTGTCCTCCATCACCTCTGGTTCTTATAATCATTCTGCCTCCTTTTCTGCATATTCCTTGAGCCTTGGAGTGAGGGATTTGATGAAGACATCCCATTTATGAATAAGTGCATCAAAACTTCTCACTCTCTGCACAGTGCCCAGTTATAGATCTTTGTCTTAATTCTCATTGCTGCAAAAGGAAGTGTCTCTGATTGTGGCTGAGTGAGGCACAGATCTAAACAATCACATTTTTATACAAGGTTTTTTACTTTTCCAAGCTCAGACTCTCCAGCACTCTCCCACACACACACACACACACACACACACACACACACACACAA